GGGGGTATTGTAAATAAACCTTATCGCAAATATAATAAAGCGCCTCCTGTCGTCAGAACAAGGTATCTTTGCGCTCTGTTAGGCTTTTGGCTGGCATTCAGTTATATTGTCCAAAAGCACTGTTTTTGGTCCTGCTATTAGGTAGCACTTACTCTCTTACCCCACTATTGGAAGTTGAAGTATTGAAGTGGCAATAAAAATCTTCATGGCCTCTGTGATCATCAGCCAAACCTCTATAAAGATAAATGTAAAAGTAAAAACTAAAATAAATACTAAAATACTGTTGATTTTAAAAAAGAAAAAGAAAAAAAGAGAAATAAATGTAACCACTGATTAATAATTTTCTTCTCTTTCTTACTTTGAGCATGAAGTGCAGCTTCCATATTAAATTAAAATATATTATCCTGGGGCCACAAACACGTTTTGCGGGTCCACAAGAGGTCGTTGTGGTAATTGTGATAAACTGGGAGCCACAGCCTCCTCTCAGTCATCAATCACATTTTTCCATTTCAACAAATAAGTAAGTAAAATACAACAGAAAACGGGTATATTCAATATTATTTAGTATTACCAATTTAGGCCAAATCAGTGACAGTAATAAATCGTTTTTATTCAGCAAACGCACAAATAAATTAGCAAATGCAAAACCGTATCTTTTATATTTGTTGGTGTAGCATAAAGCAAACGAATTACAATTTCAAATACATCCATGTGTCCGTGTTTTATAGACAACAGTATAATACATGTAAACGGACTTTGCGTATTTTTCCCTTTTCTGCAATCTTATCTGTCATTTCCAAAACCTTTGTAAATGTAACAACACATAAACATCACCAGTAATACGTTAATAGCACCTTTTCAATTTTTTTTGTTTATTTTGTTTTTTTAATTTAGGCTGAGATAAATTTGCTTATCCCCCTCCTGTCTTTAAAGCATCACTCATTTCACAAGGACGCAATTCAACAACACACTTAACGTGATGTGATCGATCACTATTGAGCCATGATTTCGTTTTATTTTCGTGAGGTCGCCTTCTTTTTTTTTTTTTCTTTTTTGCATAAACTGCTTTGCATGCTTTTGTTAAATCCCAGTTGTTGTTGTTCTCTCTCTCTCTCCCTTTTTCTTCTTCACGCCTTCACCTTTCTTGTTTGACTCCTTTGAGCTCTTCCTCCTCTGCTGCATGTGGAAAAAAACCGTCCCCCACTCACAATTTCATCTGGATTACCATTAAACCCTCCTAGGAGAGCAGTTACAGGAATCTCTGATTATAAGGAAACCAACACGCGTGAGAAGTAATATGACATAGATATAAAATGTAGATATTAAAATCCATTATTATTATTATTATTTTTTAAAAGAACATCTCAAACTAATTGCTTCAAGTAGAGTGTTATACACCATTTACTTCTGGCCTTTTCATCTATTACATGCAGCTTCACCTCACTATTTATATTTAAATGAAATGCGTAAATGCTTCAAGTCTTACGCAAAAATGTTTGTTCTAGTATCCGGTTTTATTTAAATAAAAGTTGGATTTTAGGCAGATAAATGCCTCACCCTGCCTATAAAATACATTACAGATAAATTTACAGTAAGTGTAAACTCACTACTAGAACAGATGCTTAGGTTGCAATATAAGGATGTTACACTGGTTACAGAAGTAGTGGTCAATCACAACAACAAAGGTGGTATAAGAATATTATGCGTATTATAGTGATTGGCCACTTCCCATGTTTGGGCTCGTCCATCACGCAATATGCAGTGTATCCCTGGGGACTGTAATTGTGAATCACGTGGACGTGACCGAATGTTTGGGGGGTTTGTTGGGTGGGAAATGGTCATTTGTATTGACCAAGAGAGCTGGCCACTGCAGGAGCGCTAAAAGGCGTCCAAAGAAAGGGGAGAAACGGCAGCAGTGGACACTGAGATTAAACCATAGCTCCCGAACATGGCAGAAGGTATGCTGGCAGGTTTTAGGGAGTTATCTCTGGGAACGGTTAGAGCGCTTTCTGGTGGGGCAGGATTTCGATGTATTGTCTAAGATGGTTTTTTTTTTTTGTTTAGCGAACGGGGGGGTCGGGGTCTTCACAGAAAAAAAAAATTTTCTCCCGGTGACCCCCCACCCCTCATTGTTTAAGGGGGATAGGTTGCCAGCCCCCTTTTGTTTACCTCCCTCTCACGCTTTCCCTCTCGCTGCGCAGCTTCTGCGTTTCACAGCATTTTGCATGAAAGTGGCAATCTGCGAGGATTACCCAGTTTGAGGGCTTGTACACTGGATACTGTAGCTTGGGTGCTGATTTTGACTCAAGGCAGAAGTGAAGACATGGGTTCCGTTTCTAAGAAGAAGCTCCGAGGTTGGGTAACTTGAGCTACATTTTGAGAAGTTTTTGCAAGTTAATTGAGTCGTTGTACCTGTGGACTGTGTGCTCGATTGCAGCGGAACGTTTTAACGCATTGTTCACACACTTGAACGTTAAAATGTGCAGTCCGTGTGTCTATCAGTGCTTTGCATTGTCTTTAGAATTTTGTGCATCTTACGGGAAGGGAGAATATTTTTATTTCCTTTTTGCGCTAATGCACCAGTTCGTTGTGCATTCGCTGAAAAAAAAGTCACATGTTTATTCCCCTTAAAGTTGGCTATAATTTATTTAAAATTTTGCGAGAAATACAGCCTAATCTTGTTCATTGTATTGATTCGTATTGATTATTGATTGGGTAGCCTAGCCTAAAGGAAAATTTGTATTTTACGTTTTTTAAAACCTTTCAATTTCAAAAAAAATCTTTTGCGTTTTTAAGCATCGTCACCTTCGCAGGTTTAAAGCTTTTCTGTAGTAATTGCTAAATTGTTTAATCGTAGGAGTGTGTAAAACCGAGGAGGATGAAGGACCGAGTCCCGAGGAGAATTCAGAGTCTTTCCACGGGGTCGGTGTGTGTAAATGGTTCAACGTCCGCATGGGTTTCGGGTTCCTGTCCATGACCAGCCGGGAGGGAGAGCCGCTGGACGAGCCGGTGGATGTGTTCGTCCATCAGGTATGATCTGCTTTTGCTCCGACGTGGTGTTTGTTTATTATGAGAAACGCAGCACTGGTGGTGGCGGTGTGTGAACCAGTTCATTTGCATCCCAATAAAGATATCTAAAATGTAAAGGTAAAAATATGTTTTCCATCTAAGCAAGTAAAATCTCTCCACACCAGGAGATCAGAGACCAATCTTATCTTCTTCCAGTCTTCAGTTTCTGTGCTTTTAGACCTAGTCCCAGCAGCAAAGGATTGTGGGCATAAGTTAAAACATTACAACAAACAAAAACTTAAAAGAAAGCGAGGTTAATCAGAAATCAAGTCCTTCAACAGGGAGGACACTGAAAGACATTTAAAGATAAAAATTGCTACAACGCCGGAAACGTCTAACTGTTAAATTGATGCTTTTGCTGCGCGGTGGGTGTTTCTCCTTTAGGGGAACACGTGTTGCAGCCAGAGGGGAGCAGCGGGCCTCCCTCGTGGTTTTCAGGACGCTGACACAATGTGATGGAGAGATGAATGTGCGGTTTTTGTTGTTCATTGAAGCCAGCGCACTTTTAACAGGCTTACATCCATAAGCCTCCTGAGCTGCATGAAAACTGAGCCATTAAGGAGGAGGAAACGTTTAATTGATCTCCATCTGGAGACGTGAACAATCAGTGTGCATTGTTTTTGTGTGTGGGTGTTTGTTTAGATTTTTTAACCATTTATTTTCCACCTGCCAACAGAATTCTTTAACACATCATTTGAGCAACCTATTAGGGTGGTATCTAAAAAGGGTTACTGATCCCGATCACTGCTTTTCAGATTAAACAC